AGGACTGTCTCATGGGCCTCTTATGCGGGAAGCTTAGGTTACTTGGACATTTTATTTTTCTCCCAACTTAAACCAGACCAAAAAACGAGCTGGCTGCTGATACAAGCTCAAAAGGCAGTGGCAGAGAATCAGAGAGCAAGACCTGTTTTATGCATAAAGCTGCTCTCCCTCTGCTTCACTGGAGATTTTTTTAAATTTATTCACCTTCAATACTTTCTCCTATTGATACAGAGAATAGAAACCTTCCCAGTCATATGCTCAGCCTTAATCTCCTGTGTCTCCATAGAGGGATTTAGCGAAAGGCATTGTTTGATTACCGATGCCAACCCTATGTACAGGAACTCAAAAACTCTTTTGACATCAGCTTGAGTTCTTTGCTTTGTCAGAGGCCTTCAGTGTAGTTTTATGAATTCTCAGGAACCTGCAGCAAAGCCTACAGATCATAGAATCACAGAATGGCCTGGGTAGGAAGGTACCTTAAAGATCATCTAGTTCCAACCCCACTGCCATGGACAGGGACACCTTTCACTAGAACAGGTTGCTCAGAGCTCCATCCAAGCTGGCCTGGAACACTTTCAGGGATAGGGCGTCTACAGCTTCCCTGGGCAACCTGTTCCAGTGCCTCACCACCCTCACAGTAAAGAATTTCTTCCTAATATCTAATCCAAACCTACACTCAGTCTGAAGCCATTCTTCCTTGACCTGTCACTACATGACCTTGTAAATAGTCTCTCTCTGTGTTTCCAGTTGGCTCCCTTCAGGTACTGGAAGGCTGCGATTAGGTCACCCTGAAGTCTTATCTTCTCCAGGCTGAACAATCCCAATTCTCTCAGCCTTTCCTTGTAGGAGAGGTGCTCCATCCCTCTGATCATCCTGGTGGCCTCCTCCAGAATTGCTCCAACACTTCAATGTCCTTCCTGTGCTGGGCACCCCAGAGTGCTTCAGATGGGGTCTCACTGGAGTGGAGAATAGGGGCAGAATCCCCTTCTTGGACCTGCTGCCCATGCTGCTGTTGATACAGCCCAGAATACATGTGGTTTCTGGGCTGCTAGCACACATTGCTGGCTCATGTCCAACCTCTCATCCGCCAGCACCCCCAAATCCTTCTTGGCAGGGCTGCTCTTGGTCAGTTTATCGCCCAGCCTGGATTGTTACTGGGGGTTGCCCCAACCCAGGTGCAACACCCTGCACTTGGTCTCATTAAACCTCATGAGATTCCCATCGGCCCACTTCCGGAGCCTGTTCAGGTCCCTCTGGATGGCATTCCATCCTTCAGGTGTGGCAACTGCACCACTCAGCTTGGTGTCATCTGTAAACTCGCTGAGGGTGCACTCGATCCCTTCCTGTATGTCTTTAATGAAGATATTAAATAACACTGGTCCCAGTGTGGACCCCTGAGGGACGTCGCTTGTCACTGATGTCCTGGATCCTTCTCAGAGGTCAGTGTACCTTGGTGATGAATGGTGTATGCTGAGTTCTGTAGGGTAGTTCTGTGAGATTGCCCAAGTCCCAGTGCAGGAGCTCATTAAAAACTAAAAGGAGAAGGACAGAGAGTGATTACATGGTACAATAAGCAGAATGCGGAACGTACAAACTCTGAACAAGGCAAACCCAGGCCGGAACACTTCAGGCGTGTAAAACAAAGGGGAAAAACAAAGTGTGTTGGTGGTTAGTATATAATAATGTGAGTCATCCACAGTGAGCAGAGCTTAAAACTTGGTTGTTTTTACATAATCTGAGAGTGAGGAACTATAGCTGGAGTCTGAACATGGAAATTAAACCCTAAGATACCCTAAAAAAGCTCTGTCTTTGTGTAGTTAATAATATTGTAGTGGGCATATGACAAAGGTTAATTGAAGTTTTTTTGTTTAGTTGCTGACATTTCTCTAGCTGCTTTTTTTTTAACTAGAACAAAACAGAAAGAACAATTCCATGCAGGCTGCAGTCTTCAAATGTCTATAAATTCATGTAACAACTATCATATAATTAGCCACTCAGCATCCCACATGCAGCTGTGGGCACTGACTCACTGTCAATGAACCTCTGTCCTGACACAAAGGCAGTGCCTTTGCCTCGCTTTCAAATTCATTCATCACCATCGTTGTGCATATTTATGTAGCAGTGAGTTCAATGAGTTCATACTGGATAATCAAGATGGTGATTCGATCTAAACTCCATGATGAAAAATCCTGTTTGTAGGTTATATTGTTGTTGAAAAAATTATTTCTTTGGTGATGACAGTAGGTTTGTGAGGCTGGCATGAGCAGCATTACTGAGGCAATCTGTTCTATCTGTGTTTAAAAATTGTTAAAATTCTAGTCTTTCTGTGTTTGCATTTACACATTTATTTACACTATGTCCAGATCTTTAAAGATACTGGTCAGAAGTGATGCTTCCATCTTTTTTTCTTTTAACATTAGCTGTGACATAAAAAACAGGGCACTATAAGGAGCAGGTTTCCTTGAGACTAAAATTATTGACTGTAATGCCTTGTAGATACTCAATTGTCATCTGAGGGGATGGCCTGCATCTTATAATAGTACTCCAAGTCACGATAGACTAAAGAATAGATGAAATAAACAGAGGTATCATGATAAAAAAACAATCAGAAGAAACCATTGTCTTTTATATTCATTTATTTCTCAATGGAAACATTACTTGCATGGAGAAGAATACTAAGTACATTTCTATCACCAATCCTTATAAAATATGCCTTTGCAAAAGGGCCCCTCCAAGGTGTGTGTGCAAGCATGTCCATGGTTGCTGGTAAGCTCAAATGGTTTTCACTTGTTTGGTGACTTGGACTCGGTTATTCCCATGTAGGATAAATAGGAACTTTACTCAAGGATTGCATTGTGAACTGTCTTCCTCTTACATCCTTTTTCTTATGATACACAACTTCAGCATTTTTTTCCCTCTTGTGATGGCGGCCTTCCCAGTTACTCTTGTCATGTGTGCCTGAGGAAGATGCTTCTGGAATTCGTATGCTGGCTTGTAGGGTTAACCATGAAGCCACCACAAATGAGTTACTCCCTCAGTACATGCTTCAAGCTTTAGATTTCATCGTGCTGCAGTTGGGGAGATGTGCAGTGACACTATCCTGTAGGTACAGGAATGAGTAGTTACAGAGGAGAGGAGGGAGCTCTGCAGCATCCTCATTTTCCAAACCCTTCTCACTATGTCAGGAAGAAGGACTGTTCCCATCTAGGATTCCTGGCTGCAGCCTCCATGTCTGACAAGATAGCCAAGGTCTAAATCAGATCAGCAATCCTTGGCTCTTCCCTTCCTTCCCTGTCCTTACCATGGTAATAACTATAAATAGCAGAGCTGTGGCTACCAGGAATAGACTCAGTATCACACACTCTGGTTATATCTGTACATCGTCATGTCCCTTAAACTTAGGAGTGCAAGAGCTTTAGAGCTGTTGCTATTGTATGGAAAACACTTTCTTCCAGAGCCTTTCACATAGGATGACTCTGCCCAATTCACATTGCTTTTTTAAAAAAAAAAAAAAGTCCATTAAGACATCTACAGCTCATCTGCCAGGACAATATTATGACTTCACGAAAAGTCAGTGGAGGTGCCTCTTTCAGGCTGCACTCCTGAGAACATGAATACAGAACACTAATCTCGCTATGATTTTTTCTCCCATCATGCTGTAGAAATACATATTCAGAGATTTGTTTTGAGTTTGAGCAGGACATTGGGAAAAGATTTCCAGTGTAAAGCTCCCCATACAACTATGAAGTCCAACTCAGAGGAAAAACAACACTGAAGAGAGAACGTGCACATGCACTAGTGCATGATGTGGTGTGGAAGTGTGGCTTCTATTAGTACTGTAAACATTGCCACTTTTCAGGCAGTATCTCAAGATTCCCACGTCAGTGATTACATCAGTGCTCTTAAATGCAGTTAACTGTACCTAGATGTGAAGAATTGCTGTCAGGTTTCACATTGCCAAACCGAACTTTTAGTTTAAGAAGTGCAGCATGTGGGGAGACTACAGCTTTGCCCAGAGTGATACTTAAAAAACTGCTGAAGCTAGGTTGTGCTGAAAAATTGTATTTACTTAAAGCCAAACCCTTCAGCTTTTACTCATAAAAGGACACGCTTGTAATAATGAGATCAGGCCACTTGCATGCAACCTCAAAGGACATAATTAAGGGCTAAGTTGTACTAACTCGACACTAATGTAACTCTTGCTATCACTGTGCTGCAGGATTGGTCCTTACACAGCAGTTTCAAATATGCCACTGTAAATTTTACTTTTTTTTACAGATACTACTAACAGATTAAATCAAATACTAGGCTAGGATTCTGCAGATTTCGCCTTGTTAATGATCTGAGCTGCACACTGCCAGCTTCACTTGCTTATTCAGGCTTATTTTGGGATGTTGCTTATGCAAAGTGCTGAAGGAGTTCAAAACACAAAGGAGAACAATGTGCATAGTTCAGGAACCTGCACCATGCCCACTCCATTTGCTCACATTAACGCCTGTAATGGAGGTGCTGAAGTTAGTAGCTGTTGCTTTCGGTTGCCTGTAAAATAGTACCTCTAGAGGCTACTGAGATCCCAGTTTGTCTGGACAGGCCTTGGGAGGTGCCCCTTTCACTCTAATTGCAGCAAAAGCTTCTGTTTTCTTTATTCAGAAGGAAGCGAAGTAGGATGGATTCAAGCTTTGAGGTCAGAGGGCAGTGATGTGTTTCTGCCCTGTTATCACATAGAATGGTTTATTGGTATAGAACTCACCCAGATTTCACTGTTTGGCCAGGTTTGTTTGTGAATTGCCTCACAAGGTCAGGTGCTCATGACATTTGTAAAGATGAGGTTGGTGCCTTCATGTCTATTGCAGAGGCTGGAAGCTGTGATTGCAGAAAGACCTCATGGCAAACAGGCATTAACCTCTTGGGTGTTACTAGTTTAGTATGTCCCACATCTGGCAAGCGAGAAACAAACACCAGGTACAAAAACCAAAGGAAACAGAAGAAACCAATACAAAATTGCTCAAGATGAATGGCTTTGTGTCTGACCTGAGAAACCAAAAAGTCTCTGCATCCCGTTTGAGAAGCTATTGGTCTTCTCGTCAGCCAGTCTGGACATCTATTCAACTGAGTATGTATTTAATTTTCTGACATTCACTGGAGGAATGTCAGCTGGAAAAATCTAGCAGACATCTTCCCCTGTGTCTGAATCAGCAGCACAAAGGTTTGTGGTTATCAAAGAGAACTTGCCCCTAATTTTTAACATTTAGGAATCTGCTGGTTTTGCTGTCCTGTGGTTAGCTGATTGCCCGTGTTTGCATGTGAAAATCTTTGTTCTTGTGCTGTGTTGTTTCTCTGGAATGCTATGAGCAGTTGTTTTTGTTTGTTCATACTCGGGTGGAGCTAACTGTCTAATTGGGTAAATGTTTGCAATGTTATACTTGCATGCACAGAAGACAAAGAGGGTTGGACTCCTGTTGACATAAATGACCTTTTACAGCAGCCTAGAAATGTAAAGGCCTAAATAGAATTGGTAGCTACAAGGCCAACACTTCTTATGGTCAGACCACTTAAAGTGGATTTCTTTTAACTGTCATGGCCATATTTATTTCTACTTACAGATGGACTATATTTTCCAGTTGGGAGTTCTTATGATTACAGTCATGAAGGGGGAAGTTGCCTTATTCACTGACTTCATGTACAAAATGCTTCCACTGAGACTTAGCTCTATGTAAAAAAAGGCATTTATTTACTAGCCTGACTTTGCACATCAAGGGTGAGTTTTCCACAGATGTAGAAATTTCCTAAGTGAACATTGGTAGGTGCAAATGCCTAAAGCTGGTTTCAAAATTTGCAAGCTTGTGGCGCTCGTGGAAGGTGTGTTTGCATATATAATAATTACCTTGCATAAACCTTTTGGGGTGACTACTGCATACATTACCATTAGCTAAGCTACAAAGTACACTATGAATATCTACGTGCAAATGAGCAGATTCTAATGAAAATTTATCACTGAAGAGGCTGTTAATAGGTAATTGAGCCTTTCTTTGAACAAAGGTTAAATGATTGTGATATGAGGAAAGGGGAAATTGAACTCCACAGTTGAGGTGTCGTATAGATCTGACCCCAGTTCAGCTTCTGTGTAGCTGCAGCTGTGAGAGCCTGGAGCTTATTTAGAACGGATTTATCCTGTATAGTCTTGAAAGACTTGCATAGTCTTATAGAACCATTCCTTCACACATGCCTTAATGGAACAAATGTCTCTGTAGGTGTAAGAAAAAACTTTATTATGAGAGTTTCAATTTTTTATTTTTGACTTCAAAAAATAAATAATAATTTAGAGTTTCACTTCCATAAGGCCGAACTCTGATGCTCTTACACTATCTGGTATCTTAGTCATTAGCTCCACTGGGTTCATTGTTACTAATTGTGGTGCAAAAGCCTTTTATTACCACAGTGTAGCCATCCACTCCTCCACTCCTCCTTGTCCCTTACTGCAAGTCTCAGATTTTTGTCTGACTTTACAATGTCATATTGAAGTTTAGATTGTCTCTGAGCAAGCGTTCATTGACCAGATATTCAGCCATATCTCTACTCCTGCATAGTTATTTCTGTTGCCAGTCCCTACAGTGTGCTCATGGATCTCCCCGTGTAATCATTCTGTGAAGCAGATTGGGGGCTGCGAGTTGGGTAACACAGGTTGCTTTGCTGTTTTCGGCTGTATTCACTCTCTTGCCTAATCCACTTCTTACCCATCCCTGTGAGTGGTGTGGTGAGTGAGAAAAAGCAGCTACAGAGGAATAGAGCCTGCTGAGGTCAGTTGTACCGCTGCCTGTTTTGCCTTCCCTGCTTGGAAAGCCTGTCTCACTGCAGTTCACCACCCAGCCTCTTCACAAGGGATGTGCTCAACAGTTTCCTATGAGCTCACTCTGTCAACTGGTGGCAAACAAACTATATTTTCTTCTTGTTGGAGTCTTTGCCAACTCCATCGTAAATTCCTGTAAGCTCAGGTCGAGTATTTCCCTCAGTCACACGTAACTGGAATTAATAAAAAATCACTAATGATTCCGTGTTTTTCCTTGCTCTTGCTCTTGCTCTCTTCATTCTGAAAACATCTTGTACTTTATTTCATAGTGACCTTTATCCAGCTGTAAAATCAGGTTAAAATTGTTCAGTGGTTTTAAAGGTATAGGATAAGTAGGAAAGTGGATGGTAGACAAGGCAGCAAACCTGAGTAACTCTCCCTTAATCAAGAAAACAGGCTGAAAATTGTACCACTTCCCTTCCCCAGCTCAATACTGGTTAACAAACTAAATATATACAGACAGTCTTCCTTGTGATTTTATGATTACCAATCCTATTTATCTACTATGTTTTTCCTGTTTCTTGTGTGTAAACAATCTATAATAATAGTACCATGACACTTAGTCCTCATCCTCTGGTGCCCGCCCCTGGAAATTACTTCCTCCTTCACGTCTTGGCTTTTCTCTGGGTGCTGCATTTAGTGACTTTGGTGATCTGTGTGTGAACAGCCCATGACATTTCTCACCCTCCATCAGACCTTTATTACACCAAAACCATGTTTTCTGAATACTTCCATCTGGTTTTGTCAGAAGATCTGGACAAAGATTTCTAACCTGGATTATATATGTATTTCCTTCACTTTACTGTATCAGCTTATTTGAGTTGGACAAGAAGAACTTGTCCTACTGTTTGGTCCTGGGATATTACTGAAGACCCATTGACGTAGCAGAGAAGCTTTCATGAGGCTGGGGAAGGAATGTATCCTTTTTTGTTTCTGCTCTCCTGCCTGGATCTGCTAAAGCCAAGTCTTGTCCATTCACAAGAGAAATTCTGTCATGAATATCTAATATTTGAACTGGCAGTCAGTCAGAAATGCTTAACTGCCCAGTGACTTTCCCCACAAGAAAAAGGTAAATTTGCACTTGAAATTTTCAATCACGTTTAAAGTCCACAACCCAATTTGCTGAGGCAGGTCATTAACATTTAGTTTTGTATTAGGAAATACCCTTTGCCAACAAATTTCAATGGCAAAAGGGAAGACCTTTGTCCCAAAAGATTCATTCATGAAAAATTCTGCTCAATGAAAAAGGAAATTTACAATTTTTTTAAAGACTTACTATATCTAGTATGAGTGTTTTAGTCTAGGCTAACTGTACATTTTACAGATATTTCAATTCATTTTTATTTCAACTGATGTTTGAGGTAGCAGTATAATAAATAATGTAAGAATTATTGGCATGTCTTTAATGTTCTTGTCTGCATAACATATCTGGATTCTCTGTAGAAATAAAGCCTGCTGGTATTTCATGTTGAAGGTGAAGAATGTCCATCAATATCTTTCCCAGGGGAATAGAGAGAACAAGGCCTGGGAGAAGGCAGTTTGGCAAACACTCCTCATGAGGAACAAACTTGGATAGTAGCTTGTCTAACTCTTCCCAAGCAGTGGAGCGTGTCATTGCTTTTGCAATAAACCATTCTTCAGGAACTGATATAGACCAGCTGAAAAATAATTAAAAACTTAATTTTCTGTAATACTGTCCATCAAACAACTTTTTGAAAGGCTGCTCTGCAGCACGAAAGCAATGACTGGCAGCAGTGCAGGGAGAACAGGGAGTATTTATGACCAGTGGAACCATGGCTGGCCTTTTGCCCTAGAGAAATGGCTTGATGAGAAGATCCTCTGCTTAAACCAAGCATTAGTAAAATGATTTGGACCTAGGCTTGAGGTGATGATGTTTAGCAAAGCTGCTGCAAAGGCTTTTTTACTGCCCAGAGTGATGCTGAACTGAATGAATGCTCTAGGGGTCTGTTGTGTGCAAACTCACACCTCCACAGTTGATCAATTCCCTACCTTTTGGGAAAACCTGAATTTTTACTGAGATATAAAATTTGTAGTTCAGGTCTTTTACAAAGACTTGTTCCCAATAGCTAAAATCCTATTTGATTCATCCCTTGCAGTTGCTTTACAGTTTATTGCATAGTACATCAAAAAAAGGCAAACAAAACTGTATCTTCCTCTGGACAGCTGTAAGGAACAGATGCACTGACTCAACCGCTCAAGAGGACAAAACCCAAAATTTGGTTCTTTATTCCAAACTAACACACATAAAACTTCTCTCCTTCCTAAGTCCACAGTTCCATGGAGCCTGTTTCAACACATAACTAAAGAACCAGAGCAAATACAGCAAAAGCTAATGTCTGTGACTGGATTAGCTACTGTATTGGTGTTGCTACTGACCTAGTGTGCTGGTAACCACAATTTTTCCTTTTTTTTTTTCCCCCCCTCCAAAGTACCTGAGCCATAGTTGTTCTAAACTTATTTGTTATTTCCTTTCCTCGTTTAGGCCATCAGATAATGCCACCAGACATTATTTTGTCTCCTGAGAAGACTGAAAGGGGGAGGATTCAAAGCTGGTTCAAATTAATTTTTCTCTGCTCACCCATTAATCTGTGTCAAGTTACGCTGGATATGCTGTTCCAAGAGACAGCTCGAGCTTCTTTATCTATCATAGTAGCACTACTTTGCTTTTCAAATCACCAAACAAGAAGCCATGCCTTAAACAAGCCACTTCATTATCTTTTGCTTTGGATATTTTTGTGGTTTTTTTTCCTAACAAAAATATAAATAATTGATTATCACTGATAATAATTAAAACATGTATTTTTTTCTAGTAGGTCATAGACTGAATGGACAGTCTGTAGTCATTTGTCCATCATTTCAATGGGGAAATCAATTCTCAGTTATCTACGCATGGCTTGTCTGGATTGCGGATTAAATAGGCCAGGGATGTACTGACGTCAGTTTATTTACCACGTGGAAAGTTGACTTTGGACCAGAAGACTGTATTGATTCAAACAGCGTGTTTCATGAGCATCTGTCAAATCATGGCTCCCTCTAGTTCAGCAGCAGATTATCTGTGTCACAGCTGTGTGAAGGCCACTCCAACAGCCACTGCAGGCTGTGACAGCGACGTGCAGAGTCAGCTGTCGTGGTCAGGCTCCTACAGGAGCACTGGGGAGAGCAAGGCAGAAATCTAACACTTCTTTGCACGTTTACTTTGCATCAACCTGGGCTTATTTATGCTCTGGGACTTACTGTGGCAGCCCCTCAGCTGTCTGAAGCTGAGAAAACAATCTTCTTTGCTCCTTAGACTACCAGCACAGGAGAGATTTCCAACTTTTAATAAACTAGTTTGCAAGTAGTTAGTTTAGTTTAGTTAATACTAAATTAGGGTACACTGCCTACACTGTGCTTGTAGGCAAGGCTGCTGTTTCCAAAAACTGGTTATGTCTTCAGCAAGCTCTCATTCCATGTGTTTCCCAGCAAAATGGTTTTCCTTTTCACCTTCAGCAGCAAACATGGACTGCTTGACTATAACTCGTGTTTACTATAAATTAATAGAATGTGGTGAGTTTAGGTCTTAATGCAGCTCATCGGTTTAAATTTAAATGTTTAGGTGTTTAAATAAGAGACTCTATGTCAAAATGATATCAACAAAAAGGATCTGGTTTGTTTTGTTTAACTGAAAAAAAAATTACAGATTTGTATTTACTTTGTTATCTTTATCCTTTATTATTTCAAAGAGATTCTGAATAGAGGTGTTATCTCACCTCTAACTGTGCTCTTGTAATCTTGTAATTCACCAAATCAGTAATTTATATTTCTGTTGAAAGCGAGAAGTAATTAACTCATGTATTGCATCCTTTTCTTTGCAGGTCTTTAATTTTCAGGAAGTATCTGCACTAGCAGGTTGGTTTTTTTTTTTTAAATTTCAGACTCTTCAAAACTATTGAGCTTCTACAGGAAAGCCAGAGCTCTCAGCAGTGTATATGAGTGCTTGAAGCCTTGCAGAACTAAGTCTGAGGATTCCAATCCTGTACACACTGAAGTCGTGTGCCATATTCACATTGACATCAACCTAGCAATTGGAATCCTGGGGTGGCAGGACTATTTGTCCCACTGACTTTTTGGTCCTGGTTTTTAGGACATTTCCCCATTCTGCCGCATGCATCCAAAAGTTGTTTACTTGTCTGCGTGTGCTCCTGGCAGTCTGTATTCCTGGATGACCTATTTTTTGCAAGAATCAAATGCCTGTGACAGCAGGAGGGTTTTACTGGGCCTGGCTGGTGTGCTGACACCACTGCAGTGAGAGTGCTCACGGTCAATGACACTGCAAGTCCGGGCTGAGCAAACTCGTTTCCTGCCAACTTTGCAGAAGTTTTTATATCAATCACTTACTAGCAGCACATACTCGAGAGGATGGGCTCATACAGACGTGTTTTCCATTAACAGATTTAACTCCAGGGCTAACTAGCAAGCATGGACAATGTGGTGATGGAAATGAGGAGTTTCTGCGCAGAGCACGCTAGTAAAGGAACCAGGACACCCTCCTCTTGTCCTATTAACCTGGTACTGAATCACATGTAACTCATGCTTTCCTCTGTAGTTTCATCTTCCTCAGCTAAAAATTTTGAGGGTGTGACAGATCAGCAGAGGTCAGGTGAGGCTGGATGGAAGGGGAGGAGTAGCTCTCCTTTAGATTTTTTTTCCATAGCAAAGTTGGTCACACCTCTAATAGCCAGACTCAGCTCTGTTTTCAGGTGAGCTTAATAACAGGTTGCTAGAGTGCTTAGCTTGTTCAATCCATTCAGTAATTAAAGCCAGTGCCGAAGCCATAAAACTGAGTATAGAGTGAGGTCTTAATGAACACAGTAATTTGGCTGCAAGTACAGCTCTGTGCAGCTTCCTCATATCTGGCTTCCTCTTGGATGGAACAGTGCAGTCATCAGATAGAGCAAGTATATTTGGCAGCTGAGGACAAAACCCGAGCATTTAAGTGGCCATCAATAAGACCAGTTCAGCCGTGCATGTCTGGGAAATTAAAACTAGCAGTACTCAAGCTGGATTAGTTATTTTTCAAAGTCTCAAAGCGCTGAGAACTTCGTGTTTTTATTCAATATTAGGGCTGATACCTCCAGCTATGTGCACATGCTGAGGCAATGTTTTTAATGACTCAGGGAAAGAAGCTGTCTACTGAATCACCAATATCCAAACCTGAAGAACCCAAATGTTTTTTGCAAATCTGAATATAATTAAACATAGTCTTGCTCTTTTGATTAGGCATGAAATAACCACAGATGATGAGACTCCACTTACATAACAGTAAAAGTATTACTTGTTTTAGTTTTCTACCACAGAATCTGAAACCTACAGCCTGCAACAGTATGTTGTTTATAAGGACTGAGAAAGGGATAAAACAAACAACTACAAGAAATGAATATATGAAAGAACTATACTAAATATGGGGACAACATTTCTGCTCATAAAATTCCTAAACCAGAAGGTGTTAGAAGCTGGAAAAATATTCTAGAGGGCAAACCATGTAAGCCTGTGCTGTTCTTAGCCCACTGGCCATTGTCAGACACTGGGCTAGCTAGGTCTTCGATTTTATCTAGGGTGGCTTTCATCTTCACTCATCGTGTTGCACATCTTCTCTTGACACCACAAGCAGTTGCATCAGATCAGAAGAACAGACAGTAGATGTCTCAGACTGTCCCAAAAACATATAATTAAAAAAACCCCACCAGGTAAACATTGCATGAGGACATGATTAATGCCAGAAGAACAGAGGGTGGAAATTCAAGGAACGGCAAAAATTATTAGCAACAGAAAATATGTATTTCCCAAGATCTAGAATGTAGTAAGAAAGATCCCTGGGGATGAATGCTGTGTAGTGTCAAAAGTAGACTAAATAGAAGGTTAGAAAATGCTGTAAAAAAAAGTTCTTACATTTTCATCTGTTGACTTTCTGAACTTTCTTTTACAACATTTGTTATAAGAACTCTTGTGCAAAGAATCTGGTTTTTCGTTAAAGCAGAAATCATTCTGCTCAGATGCTGACTTGTCTGTTTTCCAAGCAGAGATATACCAGAACATCAGCAGAGTTCTAGGGATTGCCCAATACTTGCCTGTTCAAGTGTTGACAGCAACTGCTGGCAAAGAGGAAACACCTTTTCGGGCTGTGTAGGCGACTTTCATCACATCTGCCAGATTGAGGTGTAGGACGGTTGTAGAGATCCAGAAAGAAGGACCCTGAGGCCTTCAGCTTAAGCTCCAGTCCTACGCCTATGCCTGTGTTAATCTGAAGTAGATCCCATTACATTGATCTAATTTTAAACAAGTTTACATAAAATTTAAGGATTGGTCATACTATAGAGTTGTGCTGCACACTCTGCTGTCCTACGTGGATATTGCTATCTTAATTTTGGTGGAATCGGAACACTTTCCAGTGGATGAAAATAGGGAAAGAGGAGGTAGATCCAAGGCTTTTCACTTCCAGGTTCTAAAACTCACCTAAAAAGATGTTCCATTGACTTGAAATGATAAGTGATATCCACACTGCAGGTGCTGAATTTAGTTATATATATACAAAAAAAAAAGGAAAGAAGAAGACCACAGTTGAACTCTGCTGAAATACTAATTCGAAACTGGCCTCCTGTTAATCACTTTGTTGGAGTGATTGCATAGCTTGGAAGAGCTGAGAAAGGCCATAAGTTTTATAGTTATGACAAACTACAAAACAGCTGGAAATAAACAGTGGAAAGGGGAGCACTTTGCTGCCATGTCTGTCTCCAATTGCAAGTGAAGCTGACTCAGTGGCTCTGGTGCTTTTGTCGCTTGACTTGTCTTTGATTAATGCATGTGGAACCTCAGGAGCCCTGGCACACTGTTTTATACCTATTTCATAACTGCTTGGAGTTTCTTGTTAAGTAATCTGGCTGTGAGCAGTTACAAAGCTGTTCTGCTTCTCGTAACATTTCACAGGAGAAAGAATTTAGCTTTTCCCCATTCTGTACTACAGCAGTGGCAGAGATGTACATCTTGCACCCTACCTGTTATCTGGGCATGGTCACAGGGTGTGAGAATTAAAAATCTCCACTGATAAACTACAACAGCTTCTCTCTTAAATGTCCTGAGTGCCTTTCCTGCTCTCTGCCTATCCCTTGAGCAGCAGGAGACCTCTTTGACAGGCTGGGACCTGGGCCTGGAAGACTTCACTGCCTTTTGGATGCTACAGCACAAGATGTTGTTATGGATCTGTTCATGTTCCTTCTCTACTCCTAAAGCTCAGAAATTTCTTCTCTGGCACCGCTCTCTCCTCTTTTTCTCCACTACCTACCTTGGAATTGGGGAGTCCCTTCGCCTTCCATTCCCACTTCCATTCCCACTGATCTGGTGCAGCCCCTGACTCCACAGACACTCTGTTCTGAACTAGAACTTTTCTGGGGGAACGAGGTGCTCCGCCTGTCAGGGAAAGGAAGTGGACAGAGTGTGGCTGCTTTCCAGCCTTCCTTCTCTCCATGGCCACAGTGGTGGAGCTGCGTGGGCGGAGACCACCGGGATTGGGAGAGACAGGACAGTCCAGTGCAGTGAGGTGATGTCAGGTGATGCAGGGAAGGTGTAAGACTGACATTGCTGGTCTGGTGGCTGCTGTGGCACTGTGGGAATACACAGTTCATACATAATTCATAAGTGTCTTACATTGGCACCCTTTGTGCAATTTACTCCTATGGTTGTGTTGGTGTAGGGTTGCTACATGTAGTCTCTTGTTATACTGAAAACCCGTCAGTATTTCTTACCACGACTGCAAAGGCACAAAATAAAAGAGGAAAATACAGTTTAACTAGAGAGAAACAGAGCAGTGAGTGACTGAACCATTTTCTACCACACACAAGTATTTCAGGGGGCATCTGTCTCCTGGCCTGGACTGCAGACTGTGAGCACATGGGGCTCTAACCAGAGGAGCTGGAGCTGTTGGGACTTCTGCCTTGAACTGCCCATACAGATGGAAATGTGCTGGTGGGAGAAGGGATGTCAGTGTTTATATTTTTTTTCCCCAGCAGTGAAAAACAAAGGGTTGGGCTGATTGCTTCACCTCTTCAGCCTGCAGGGAGTCATTGCTGCACCGACACAGCCCCACCTTTCACTCCTGTGACTGCAACCCTATAGTCACTCAGGTCTGCATAGGTTATTCCACTAACTAATGACTTCCAATGTTTCAGTTGCTTCTTGTCACATCATTTTTCATTTCAGTCTACGAGTAAGGATATCTGAAAAAAATTTGTTGTGATTGTATTTCCTTATGCTTTTGCTGGAATTAATTGTTGACTAAGTTTCTTGTGGGGAATGTGATGAAAATACACCACGATAGTAATATGTTTCTGGCACGGCTTGTGGTTTCTGGTGGAAATATTTAATGATCTTTTTGTATATATATAGTAATTGCTTCTTCTGTAAGACAATAATTTAAGTTGCAGTACAATTACACTCTTGTTCTTCTTCATATGAGAAATGGGCACATAAGTGGAACAGAATCAGAAAAGCAGAATATTCCTCGTATCTCTTCAATATTCATCTACTCACCTGAGATTCTGCAGTCTTTTGAATAACACTAGACTTTTGTAATCAAAGTGCTTGTGCAGCCTTAAGATAAACAATTCATAAGACAGCTAAAGTTCATTTTCATAACAAAAATAGGCATTAAGGAGTTATTCCCTAAAGGTAAAAACTCAGAGGAACGCAATATGTTGCAGATAAATCCTCCTAATATAAAGCAATGCATTCTCAGTTACACACAGATGAGCAACACTCACTTTTCTCTAATAAACTTCTTTTGGAACCTGCCTGCTGCTGCAAAAGCCTGTTTCTTTGAACAAAGGAGTCCCTGTCTAGTGAGAGCTCATTAC